TCATCTTTATATAGGTCCCTGCAATACGATCTCCATGTCTCTGTCTCTTGTCTCTTGTTTTTATTACTATCCTTTGTTCTTGAACGTGATATTTGCTGCCAGGGAAAAACCGTTGCAAATTTAGATGTTTTATATATCACAAGCTTTTGAACTTTAACGCCGTTACAACGTCCTTAATAAGCTTTATATAATACTAGATAATAATGTAAGAAAATCTTTGGGACAAACCCCGATGTACCAAGTCACCTAGGAATCGAACACAGAAAGAGTCCCACAGGTCAATCTTTGATAAGGTGGGTGTCTGGGATGAGTGAATTTTCCCCTACGAGGGAGTGCGAGCTGTATAGCTAAATTTGGATTTTCTTCAGTAAACGAATTTAAAGGAAATATGAAGTTAATTTGTTTATAAAGCTATAGCTCGTAAACTATTTGACGTACAGTGTCCAAGTTTAGCATAAATGAACTACATATATTGAAAAATATTCCCGTGGAATCTTAACATAGTACGTGAACAGCATAGTTGGTCCCTTAATTATAAAGGTCCCTTAATTATAAATGATATGTAAAACAGATTTGTATTTGTAACTCATTCAAATTGAACGCGGTAAGCTTTGTTTTGTAGGTCTTTTAAAAGCGATTAAAATAAGTTTTTGACATTTTTTGTAAAACAAACAGTGGAGAAAATATGCGAAGAAAAATTGTAAAAAAATAATACTACAAATAAACAATGTCTCCAAAATTTTTTAGACTTCGAGTACTTACCAACGTGTTCTACATAATTTTATCTAAAAAAAATTACTTAAAATCATTTAACTCCTAAAAATGTCATCAAAACGACGATTTTGAAGCTCTTCCCACTGGTTAAAGAAGCTATTATAGATTCACACAAAAGTTGTGTATTTTCAACTCTAAATTTCTAATTTAATTAATTATTCTAATTTTATATCTATATCCATAATAGTTCTAATATAATTTCAAAATGTTTATTTAAATAAAAATAAAGGGTTCCAGTTGAAAATTCAAAGTTGCTACACCCACCGCGTTCGCAGGGAGAATAAGAACCCTGGTATTGCATAAGTATATAGATTTTGAAAAACCCAAAAAAAAAAATTCTTCGATACGACGTCTAGTTCTCGAGATATTTGACAATCGCCTTTCTGGACAGAGCTCTTTAATAATGTAAATAATATTATTCAAACCGGAAATAAGCCGAAGCGAGGGAGAGGTCTGACTGTAAAATTCATTTGCGATGTTGCCAAATTTACCGGATCTCGGGTTGTCTACAAAATGTATATTTAGCATATACACAACGGATCGCTCGCACTGCCTCTACAGCGGATTTAGTGGAACTACTGCAATATAAAATTCACCAAAAGGGGTGCAAAATGAGGTCCAGACAAAAATCGATTTCTTTGTACCCCCATCATTGTTACGTCGAGATATCACTATATACACGTGAATACAAGGTGAGATCCAAAATCGGATCTCGCCTTGCAAAACGGATCTCACCTTGTATAGCTTATGATACAAAAGGATCTCGCCTTGATATGAAGACATATATATATATATATATATATATATATATATATATATATATATATATATATATATATATATATATATATATATATATATATATGCATGGATAATTTAGTTCTAAGCTTTAGAAGAATATCTCACGGAGTTAACATTTGTTTTCCAAGTTTCAAAAAATAAATCTCTTCATCAGCTTTAGCTCGGGCAGTTAAAATAACTAAAACATCAATGTCTTCTGCTACTACATATAACTTTTGGCAAACTTGAGCCCTTATCCTCAATTGTTGTCTCTACTATTAATTCGTCAGCTTCTCCTTTTACTTGCTTGCATTTAATGGATTTTTTTCTAGTTCCTCCATAAGATATGATATAAAAAGCCTTTTATTTTTATAATTACTCAAAAATGTGTCTTATCTTTTTTCCCATATATACATACAAAATCTCTACTCCAAAAATTTTTTAAAAAAATATGTGGAGACTACTTTTTTCCTAGTGCATCCTATCCTAGGATGGAGACCCCTCGCATCCTTGTTTAGATGCACCATTTTATTCAAGATTCGGCTGGAGTTAAAGCCCACCATCCAGTCTTAATCTAATTAACAGATTTGTTTAATTATTGTAAGTACCTTCTTCTATTCTAAGCCAGTTCAAGTGATGTTCCCTTTATAAGAAAAATTCTAGATTAACACGAATCTGCCACATTCAATATGGCTGGCAAATGGCCAAACATGATCTTATAAAATTTTTCAATGCACATATCAGCTGTCATTTGTCCAATGACCTCCACAAGTTCGGCATGTCCTTCCCAAGCAATACTGCCTGCAATAGGATTATCCTGTCTCCATCAAAACTAACACTCTATATGAGGTTACAACTGGCATACTGTTAGTCAACTCTTCTGTAGATAAGTTTTGTCCATCTGGCTTCCATAATTGAATTATGCTCTATCTGTGGAAAAACTATTTTCCATTGCTCGATGGTTCAATTATCATGTGCTCTGGCGAATTCTAATCGACACCTTTTGTTGTTTTGAGAGAGATTCATGAACTTTGGCAGGTCATCTTGGTTTCTGGTTAGCATTCTTTAACATATGTCAGACTATTTTAGTACTAATATTTACCTGTCTTTCATTAACAACTCGTTTTTAAGATGCATAGATGTCAATAGAGATTTCGTCAGCTTTGGAAGAATTAAAAACTGGTCGCTTGCGGCACTTGTACATCATTTTCTGCCCTGACTCACTCATGTAATTTCCTATTTCACGAAACCTTTTTAAAATTTTTGACACAGTAGATTGGGTTATATTAAGGCGTCTTGCAATATATTTCTGTATATATCCCCCATTAGATAGAGTTCAATTGATACTACTTCAACTTTATTGCAATGTCTGACTGTTCATATTATATCGTTTTACAAAATGAAAAAAATGTAAACAAATATTTATGTTTTGTCAGCGCCACTTAAACTACTGAACCGCCAACAAATCTTACAGTATTAGGAAAATGTATTTATTTCACCAAAACATCATCATTCTGGCTTTACGACCCTATGGGGGTCCTAGCCTCTTCAAGAATTTCTCTCCAGTCGTCCCTATCCATGTCTATATTTCACCAAAACACTCAACAATAAATAAATAAACCAATAAATGTTGTTTAAATGTAAACCAAACAAAATGTCAAAATACTTGCGCCGCCTACTAAATAAATGATGTTGGTGTAAATAAGTTCATCAAAATATTTCATAATTATTTCAAGATATATTCCATATTTTTGTCCATGAGTATATTTTTATTATGTTTTGATACCCATATCAGCTGTTCAGTCTTTCGCTTTGGCTTATAAATATCCTTTTTTGTGATTCAAATATTTAAAAACAGTACTCCCTTTTTTGAAGAGTTATTCTCATCCCTGTTATTTTTTGTTGTTTTATATCATATTTTTCTTGTGTTTCTCACTTCTATCATAGTTGCCTTCAAGTAACACAGTGTATTAGTGTTCTAAGTTTATTTCTTAGTAATTTACTTCATTATAGTTCTTCGAATTCATGGAAAAATTATACTTGGACTTAAATAACGATTATGTTGCTGCCGCAGTTTTCTGTGATCTACCTAAAGCTGTTGACTGTCAATCAGAAAATACTTCTTAATAAACTGGAAAGATATGGTTTTAGAGGCACTGCTTAAAGTAGTTCAGTTCATACTTGGAAGACAGATGCCAGTTTGTATCAATCAATGAGCGCTACTCTAGTAATTGTCGAGTACCTCAAGGCTCTGTCTTGGGTGCTATCTTTTTCTTGATATATTTTAACGACATAACTAACCTCGACATTAATGGCCGGTTTACTATATTTTCAGATGACACTACAATTTTATGGCAAAACAAGGACTCTAATGTACTGAACAAGATTATTAGTAGTGATATGCTAAAAATCTTGAGTGGTGCCAAGCTAATCATTTGACATTTAATTTTTCAAAAACCAAACTAATTTCTTTTAAGAAGATCTAAAACAACATTACTCTGGGCAATGAAGGCATTTGTTCTGACACCGTAAACAAATTTTTAGGTCTCTATATTGATAATAAACTTAAATTTGAGCAACACAATGTGTGTTTAAGCAAAAAGAATATCGGGTTGCCTTGCGGTCAAATCAGTTGCTCACCATTTAGATTTCAAGATTGCATAAAGTGTTTATGGGGCCCTGATTGAATCTAATTTGAGATACGGTATTTTAGGGTAGCTGTTCTCTTTATCATTTCAGTAGAATTTTAATGCTACAAAAGAGAGCACTCGGATATTTATGCAAGGTCAAGTTTGATACATCAGGCAGGCCTGCCTCTTTTCCGGAAACATGGTATCTTGACACTTCCTTGCGTATATCCTTGAATTAGGGTGTTTAATTTAAAAAAAAAAACGTAAAGAGGATATTCGGACAGATTTCTCTTAAAACACCCGTCTAAATTATGTTATTTCACTTCTAATTCCCTCTTATACATTAATTAAAAATCATTTATTTACACTGGTAAGAAAGTGTTTAATCACATACCACTCGATATAAGATCTTCAAGCAATATTTTTGTATTCCGAAGAGCATCAAAAAGTTTTTATTATCTAAATGTCACTATAGTATAGAGGAATTGTTTGAGGGCAGTTGCACTAATTGATATATATTTTTTAATTATGGAAATTTTATAATTAGTATTTTAATATATGTTTTACCTTGTTTGTACTATACCATGTTGTGTTTTATAAATGTAAACTTATTTTAAAAACAATAAATTTTCTCTCTCTCTCTCACTCTCTATTATATGGTACACCAAGCCAAGAAAAACTATTGGTTATTGATATTTCAACTTCACTGTAAAGCTTTATAAAAGATGGTACTCAGAAATTTTAATGAACTGATAGCTGCAAATTAAATTCAGTTGAATTAAGCTTTTCATACTTATAAAAATAATATAATTGCAGACTCCGTATTGGCCTACAAATTGCTGCAGTTAAAGCACCTGGTTTCGGTGACAATAGGAAAGCTACCCTACAAGATATCGCCATTGCAACTGGTGGTCTCGTATTTGGTGATGACGCCAATATTGTTAAACTAGAAGATGTTAAATTATCAGATCTAGGTAACACTGGAGAAATTGTTATTACAAAAGATGATACTCTCATTCTTAAAGGTAAATATTTTTTGACATTTTTTTTATTATAGTTTACAATAATTTGTTGCTAGGGATTTAATCTTATTAGTGATCTTAGCTTCTCTTGTTTTTTTTTTAATTGTATTTTACAAATAAAAGGCAAATATTGAGCACAGTTTTTTATTAAATTATGCCAAAGTACTTTCGCTCCCAAGGCATCTTCAGGGGTATTTCGTCAGAATGTCTCTGAAGATGCTCTGTGAGCGAAAGTACGTGGGCAAGATTTAATAAAAAACTGTCCTTAATACCTGCCTTTTATTTTTAAAATTCATATAAGTTTCGAGCATTAAACCATATTATATTATTTTTTAATTGTATTCCATTTATTCTTGTTTGCTTAATAAATTTTACCAAAGGGTTATAATGAAAAAAAGTTAATTGTGGTCAATGCCAAAGAGATAAACCAAAGAATGGTTCTGGTTCACAGAGTCATAAATTGTGAAATATTAACTAAATGAACTTAAACACAATCATTCCTAATTTGGAGAGGTCATGACTTAATCGTATTTACAATATATTGTAATAAATTAAAAATAAACAATGTTTCGTTTTACAAATTGGCTAAAATCTAAATATAATAATCATCATTCAAGCTCAAGATATGTGTCAATTCAAAAGTTACAATATTTCAGTCATGTAATTAGACCTTCAGAGAGGTATAACCTTGTACATCTCATAATACAGAACAAGATCACCGGAAGAAGATACTCAAGCCGAAGAAAAACATCTTGGCTTCAGGCTTGATACCACTCCAAAAGTGGTATCAAGAGACATCTGCTAATCTGCTTTGAGTTGCAGTAAATGACAGATAAGTTATTTTGACGATGGTGACCAACCAATATGATCGCCAACGTTCGATAACACAGGCCTACATTTTATTTTCATGGAAAAGTGTTTTAAGTTGAATAGGTGTCCTATAGTAAATGGGATGTGCTGATCACGAATCTGTACTTAGTTTTTTTTTTCAGCACGTCAGGTTTTCAAAAAAGTGTGTTTAAATTTTTCATAGAAACTGTCAAAAATACTGAGAAAATATTTATTGAAACCTTATTTAATATAAAATTATACTGCAAGATTGAGTTGTTAAAAAAAAAGAATTCAGTATAACCTACGTTAGACAATATTTGTTTTTTTTTTTTTTAATAAAATGTTCTGTTCTTTTTATGGATTTTTGTGATCGATTCCCTCTTCATATCCAATGTTCAATTTTCGGGAAAATAGTCAACGTGGGATTCCAAAAAATGAAGTTTGACGCTCATATTGCATCCTTTTTTCTCATATTGCATCTCAGTTTTTTATAATTTTCGACCATGTTAGCTACATTCAGATTCATCCTGGGTCATTGTATTCTGGAACAATATGTCCGATTTTAAGGTTCGAATTTGAGGGCCTACGAAAATTCTTAAGTTAAGCTTCAGAAAGTGCAGGAAATTTGTCGCACAGATATTTAACACACTCACACTCTTTATCTAAAGCTTTGACAAACTGCTTTATTAATCCTAACTTATGTAAAGAGGAGGCAAAAGAACTAATTTTGGGTCAATTAGTGTATCACATTGCACATTTTTTGTACCGGTACTAGTCTTTCTCTAAGTGGCCACTCTTTCTTAACGTAATGTAAATTTCTTGCTCGAGTGCCCCGCTCGCATAAAAAACATGGATACTTTGTGAATCTAGACTGCTGACCCAAAAACATGGATATTTTGAGATCTTCACAGAGTTGCCAACAATATTCGCTATACTTCATTTTATTATAACAATAATATGACGATACACCCGTGAGCCCTCTTGAGAAAAATATTCTGGGAACTCTTTTTCACGATACCTATACCACAACAATGTGGTACCTGGAGCCAATAGATTTTTATTATTCAGTCGTGATCCTAAGATTTGTGCAGCATCATTCGATAGGCCCAAGTAGCAGTTGTCTCCATGGGTTTTTGGTTTCCTCCATACCATCGGAATGGGAAGGGTAAAGAGTTACGTGTACCTTTTGTCCATTTTCTCAGTTAGTTCGACAAACTGAAAGCACACTTTGTGTAAAGCCCAAGGTTTGTCCTGATCTCCAAATTTTACAAGCACCAATAAGGTACTTGTTTGCGCTAGTATATAATATCTCACAAGGTTTTTCAATTTTGTGAAAATGTTGACATGATGGGCAGTGTTGTCATTTAAATGAAATTAACATAATGTGTTAAAATATTTTCTATCGATCTATCAAGTATTTTAAAGAAATAATTTTAATGCAATTTACGAAATATCAATAAGGTATTGGTTTGCACTACACATAATATCTCACAAGGTTTTTTATTAATTTTGTGAAAAATTTGGATGTGATGGGCTTAACCGAATTCATATTCAGAATCAGATAACCAGTGTTAGCTAAGGAGACATGTCAAACTCAAAACAACAAAAATCATATCGGCCTGTGTAATCGGAGAGGGTAGTAAAAGAAAACAGTACTCGATTAGAGAGTCCTAGATATCCTCCAATTTTTATAGTGAGCGTTTCCTGAGATAAGCAAAAAACCAACTATAGATTTGTCTCAAAGTGACTAGTCTGTACAGGTAAATGCACAACATTGATGCCATACTTCTTTGCAAATTTGTATTAAAATAAACGTCACTTCCTACTACTTAGCCTAATTCATCTATTGTATGAGGGTAGCTTAAGTACTAATGCCCATTAACGACCCTGCCTGGCTTCCTTCTGTCAGTGGTTCTCAAATATAAATAATATTTGCTACAACATACTTGGGTTAAATTGAAATAAAATAAAAATTAAGAAATGCTTTTTATTTATGTCACACAAGCAGTTTGTTTTTAATTCTACAGTATGTGCTAGCTATATCAAACCATTTGTTTATAGATTTAAATAAATCGAATAAAATAAAGTAAAATATAAGGAAAAATTTTATTTATGTATTGTTCCGTTTAAAAGTTATGGGGGGAAGGACTTTTAAAAAACTGCACTGTATATGCTGGGCAGTAACAAAACGTAGAAATATCCGAATATAAAACTGATAAATAAGTTGAAAATAAAGAAGTAATTGTTTTTAATTTCGTGTGTAAGTAATTGTAATGGTACACCATTATATTTAGTTCCTTTTTCTGCCAATCGCTGTCACATTTAGTTTCTGCTTAGTTATCATCATCATCATTATTATCGTCACTGTATTTTAACTATCTCCGTTATTTATATTTTTAATAATTGGTTCAATATCATCCAACAATTTGTCAATTTCCCACATTTTTTTTTCTGTTTCTATGACGTGGTTAACATAGTTTTTCCATTTCTCTGGCGTAATGACCTGGTACGCTGCTGTAATTAAATTTCGCATTTCAGCTTCTTTAAAATTCGCGTTGGGTCCAGCTATATACCGTTTCACTTCACTCCAAACCATTTCGATGGGATTGAGTTCATAGTGATAGGGTTTTTGACAATATCTTCTATTTATGTACCTGCCATATTTTGCTTTGAAGGCCTTAACTACATCAAGTAACTCACATTTTAGGTAGTCTTTTTAAAAGAATAGGTCCTTTGATAGAAGCCATTCTTGAATATCTTTTTTAGTGTTGAACATGTTGGGAATTTGTTCTGACTTTCTGCTGTGATAGGAGGCATTGTCCATTACCAACAACAGTTTTTTTCTGGCAAATTTAACATTAAGTTATTTTCGAATTAATCTTCGAAGGTCGGTCCATCCATTTCGTCGTGGTAGTCCTGAGTATTTTTCTTTGCCAAAAACGTGAGCTCTGCTCCATCAACAAATCCACTGGTAGATCCTGCGTGCAATAAAACGAACCGTGTGCGTGCACCACGAGCTGTTGGAACTTTTAATCCTGTTGTCAAACCACAAACAAAAGCATCGTGATGAGATGCAATTGTTTTATCAAACCCATTCTTTTTTCACACTGTGCCCGATATTTATCCAGGATTCATCCAAATACACTATGTTGTATCCTTCTGCACGGTATTTACGAATTGTGCGTAAATAACGATGACGCCATGAGATGATTTCTGGTTTTTCAATCAAAATTTAATTTCTGCTATGTTTTATAAACACAAAATCCAAATCACTCAGCAAGAGATGTAGCGTGGCCCGTGAAAAGTTGGGCAAAGTTTCTTCGACATTTACAACAGCTAATATGGTGTTTATTGTTGGTGGTATGTTGTCACGAAAAAATTAATGAACTATTCTACGAATTTGGCCCTGACACCTTCATCATACTTGTTGTCACGATACAAAATCGTTGTTATCCTGATTAAGTTGATAATTAATAATAGGTTTGTTCTAGCATCAGTTTCAAATGGTTTGAAACCATCAGCGAATAGTGGACCAGTGCGAGTAGAGGGGATATAGCACTGGTGACTGTATTATTTCTCTCGCTGACTAACTGTTTTGCAGACGGTTTCTAGACTAGTTTGTCTGTTTGCTAGAACAAACCTAATATTCATTAGTAACTGCTTCTCTGAAAGTTTCAGAGCTTTTCCACGTTTCCATTGAACAATTTTCTCCATTTTGCGGTAAAAATTCGGCGTCAAATATAACAATAGCCAGCAACAGAAAATAACAATAATTGCCAACAGCAAATCACAACAACAGTCACCAACAAATAATAACAATAACAAAACACTAACAGTACATCCAAGATGGTACAAATAATCGTAACTCGAATATGTTTAGGCGCTCCGAAGAACAAATACAGACTAATTAAGGCCCTGGATGTATCAAGCTTTTTAAACATATTCGGTACAATAATTACTCTAATTGCTTCTTAATTACTGAATAACTTGAAGAAATTATTTGAAAAACTTTGAAACCAATGTTTATTTAATGCACATTTTATTATACTACTGCTACTAATAAAAGATAAAAGTTAATAAGTTACTATTAGAAACAAATAGTGTATAGTATTAGTAAAATTATTATCAAACGATATTTTGTAAATTACATAAAAATTGTATGTGAGGACTTTGACATGAGGACGAACTCTGGTTTATTCCGTTTATTTTGAAAGATAGGCAATAGACAACGCCATCGCTCACTGCATAAAACTAGCAACGGTTTGGCGAATTCCCATAAGGTTAGCATTGCATATTTTATCCTGTACAGACTAGTCACTTTGGGACAAAGTATAGTAAAGTAAAAGTGTACATCCAAATTGATCTGCTACTTAAAGGCGTTCACTTGTCGCATATTCTTGACCTTGAGTAATGATTACATTTATTTTTTCTATAAATATATTATAATTAAAGAGCATTTCTTTTGCAGACAACAAGAATAATTTTATTTAATTTTGTAATTCACTGTAGTATATCGCTCCATTTTCTTAGTTAGATTTTTTTTAAATAATTTCATTTGTATTTGTTTATTATTTTATATTAATAATATTTTATTAATAGGTAAAGGCAAAAAGGAAGACATTGACAGAAGAGCCGATCAACTCCGTGACCAAATCGAAACCACAACCTCAGAGTATGAAAAGGAAAAGCTCCAAGAACGTCTTGCCAGGTTAGCATCAGGTGTAGCAGTATTAAAAGTCGGTGGAAGCAGCGAAGTAGAAGTAAACGAGAAAAAAGACAGAGTAACAGATGCTTTAAATGCAACAAGAGCAGCTATTGAAGAAGGTATTGTTCCCGGAGGTGGTACTGCACTTTTAAGATGCAGTCCTAGTTTGGATTCACTCAAACCTACAAATAAGGACCAAGAAGTCGGTAAGCACTCTTATAATTCTCAAAGTTAAAATTAATTATTATTCTAGCAATAATTAAAAAAAAAATGAGCGATCAAGATTATTAATTTAATGATTTATTTAAATTTCAGGTATACAGATTGTAAAAAGAGCTTTAAGAGTACCTTGCATGACCATTGCTGCTAATGCTGGAGTAGATGGCGCATCTGTAGTAGCTAAAGTAGAACAACAACAAGGAGATTACGGTTATGATGCCCTCAACAATGAATATGTAAACATGTATGAAAGGGGAGTTATTGATCCTACCAAGGTAAAATTTTTATTTAGTTTTTCAGTAGCAATTTGTTGTAAATTTTATGCAATTTTATGAAAAATGTAAATTTCGGTACAAACCCTGAAACATAATGTCATTGTAAATATATATTATTCCTGAGGTAAATATTTACCTTAAAAGTTGAAAATGATGAAATCAATAATATTTTTTATTATATGTGTCAGGCATTGAGGCTTATACTGCTAAAAGCTATTAAGAGAATAATCATTTTTTGTAATTTGTTTTTTAAGTAAATGCCTTGTGACTTAAGCAAAGTTAGCTTCATATGATCCTTCTGATGTTCATCTGTTTTGTAGAAATTGATATGCTGTATCGAAGCAAGGGTTAATTGGGCATAAAATCATGTTCATAATGAGGATCAGTCTGAGTTTACTATGTGTCAGAACTTATGAAGTAAGTCGAAGGTCGTGAGCAGATGGATGGTATATATACTGATTTCAGTAAAGCATTTGTGTGGTGGTGATCATCAAATTCTTCTGGCAAAATTGCTTTCTGAACGGATTTCATTTTTTTTAAGTACTTATTGTTTAATGTTTGCTGATGATTTGAAATTGGAATGGTTTTTGATGATTTTAGAGATCAATAATTTGTCTGTAACAAGCTTGATCTTGATCATTTCTCGAGCGGTGTTTTTAAATTTATGCTTTCCAGAATTCTGACAAAAAATATTCTTCTTCCATAACTAGGTTTGAATATGTAAGTCGGGAAGAAGAAATACACTACGAGAAGTAACCGCTAGAAGGAATAGAGAAACTGGGATGAATGTTTCCAGAGAATTATGTTGCAAATATATCCATAAAAAACTGTCTTAGTTTTTATAATGTATTGTACCGTTTTTAAATAAAACGAGCGGTTCGAATTTATATAAATATATTTATTTATAACTTTACAGTTCGGTATTCTCTTATCAACTAAACTAACTCCTAAGATCGTTACATATATATATATAATATATAAATATATATATATAATATATAATATATATATATACCAAAGTTACTATTTTCTAGAAAGTTCCCACCTCTAGGCGTATACGTGACCGATCGTTCTCTTGCCTTCGAGGGATCTATTCATCGATGATTCTCGATGCCGAATGCTTCGAGATGCAACCGTTAGACGGGCCGCGCTGAATGCATTTTCGTAACACTGCTCCCCTCTTAGATCTGAGCGTTCCCGATCAGCAACTCTATATGTAGGCCCAGGATGGCGGAATCTACAGGACTCTCCAGCTCTGCATGCACCCCTCAGAAAGAAATAACAGTCTACTGTCTTTGAAGGACACGATCTCTTCGGATTAGTACAACACACATTAATTCTTACGCCGGTTTCTCGGAAGATCACTTCAAGCATGCTTCTGACAATCTTCCAATCCAGATTATCTAGTGCATGGCCTATCTTGGGTAAGGCCAAATTCTTAATGTCGTAATTGCAGACGATTTTCTTCAAATTAGTTAGAGCACACCATATATCCTCGTAGGTTGCCCTGTCTGTATACGACTTCCTGGTCACCATATACAGCAAAGATCGAGAACCATCTTCTAATCTCAGCACTCTTCCAACTTTAGGCTGCTGGTTTTTTAACTCGTCCAAGCGACCAAATTTTTTATAAAATACGGATGAGATTCCTTTAGTCATCTCAAGATCTTGGGCAACACAGTGGGCTAGAGAGACGTTATGCGGAACACTAAAAAGATCCTGCTGAACTTCTGTCGTCACGCCGAATCTAGCATTCTTTCTCTCTGCGTAATTTGACATAAACTCCTTAAAGCTTGGTCGCCGTTTATCTTTGATCTCATGTTGAAGGGTTCGGACTTCTTCGGTTTCATTTGAGCCAGCATAAGGGGCAAGACGATTTATGTGAACTACTTTTGGTTTACCTTTCGGCAACTTCTTAATTCGGTATATTACGTCATTTATTCTCTTTTTAATTTCATACGGACCCTCCCATTGTCTTTGCAGTTTAGGAGACAAGCCACGACGACGTTGTGGATTATAAAGCCAAACAAGATCACCTACTTCATAGCTTTCATTCTTGCATCGAGAATCGTATTGATCTTTCATTCTGTCACTGGCTAACTGGATGTGTTGTCGGGCAAGTTCATGAATGCTGTTCATTCTTAACTTCAGACGATCGACATAATCTTCGCTTGCAACATGTTCTTCGGAAGGTCTGCAGCCAAACTCTAGGTCGCAGGGCAAACGAACTTCACGACCTAACATCAGGCAGGTTGGAGTCTGGCCTGTAGTTTCATTCACGGCCGAGCGGTATGCCATTAAGAATAAATGAATGTGCTGATCCCAATCTCTTTGATGTTTTGATACAACTTTGGACAGGTGTTTACCCATCGTTCGGTTCATCCTCTCGACCATTCCATCTGATTGAGATGCAGGGGTGTCGTTCTGGTCTTATTGACACCAATCAATTTACAAACGTTTTGGAAAAGGGTTCGACTCGAAGTTTCGCCCTTGGTCGGAGTGGATCTCCAAGGAACACCAAATCGGCTAAAGAATTCTTTAACAAGTACCTCTGCCACGGTAGCAGCTTCCTGATTTGGTATCGCATAGGCCTCAGTCCATTTCGTAAAATAATCCATGGCTACCAGGATATATTCATTTCCATCATTCGTCTCTGGAAGTGGACCTGCAATGTCGATTGCTACTCTCTCCATAGGACTACCAACATTGTACTGTTTCATGGGTGCCCTCTTTTTACCAACTGGACCATTACTAGTTGCACACAGTTCACATTTCCGGCACCATCTTCTTACACCATCTTTACAGTTCACCCAATAGAACCGTTCTCGAACCTTTTGCAGAGTCTTCGTAATACCAAAGTGTCCACCTGATGCACCGTCATGCAACTGACGCAATACTTCTGACACTTTACTTTTAGGTACAATCAACTGAAGCTTAGTTTCTGTACCATCATCGTTCTCAAAGGTTCTATACAGAAGATCATCTTTCAGCACTAGGCAATTCCATTGGCTCCAGTAACACTTGACTTCTGGACTACATGCACTAATGTCTTGCCAAGAAGGTCTTTCACTTCGACGCACCCAATCCAATACTCTTTTTATACATGGATCATCTGCTTGGGCGTCTTGTAGCTGTTGTTGTAGCTCTTGCCTTCGAGGGATCTATTCATCGATGATTCTCGATGCTGAAATGCTTCGAGATGCAACCGTTAGACGGGCCGCGCTGAATGCATTTTCGTAACAGTATGATTGATAGGTTCTTCTTTGCGATATAAATTTTCTATTTTTTGATTCATTCGTGTAGACCAAAGATAAACCATTGCTGGCGAAAATTCAAAAAAGGAATCGTTACATTTGGGCTAAATCAAAACTTTCGTGGACCAAACATATGTGGAACAAAGTTATCTATAGCGTCCAAAGCAAATCTGATGTCTGTGTGGTTGATTGTCTAAAAGCTTGTGATTCTGCAAAAAGTGTAATTCGAGATTCCATAAGGATTTTCTTTAAAGAACTGTAAAGTTTCCACAAGATATCATGGTGGTTGTGTGGGCCATGGTTTGGACATTACATTTATTGGGCCAAGTAAACGCAGCTAAATTCAATGTACCTGAATATCAAGTGCGGAAGTTAACCATCCGGAGATTTTATCTTTCATCAGGACGGAGCCTCATGCCCTATGGCTAAATCTACCAAATATGGATGGGATAACATGACATTAAATTTTTTCATATCCTTCTAGCAGCACGAATCTTAATCCAATAGAGACACTTTGCTAAACTACTTACTAAATAAACTACTTGCTAAATTATGAGAAATATGGGATAGTTTTACCGCTGAATTCTGTGAAGGCCTAGTTGGTACAATCCCTAATAGAGTTCAGGCTGTTGTTCAAGCTAAGGGCGACGTTACGCCTTAACAATATTTATTTTAATATGTTAAAATCCTCTTGTTCCAATATTTAGTTGTCAGCATTTTTTGGCTATCAAACAATTAAATAAATAGTAATCAACATAAAATACATAATTAAACTGTAAAAATAATTCCATATACCATAAAAAATGTCGTTAATTTCATATTTACAATTGAAAAAATTAAAATAAAAGAATTTCAGTAAATTGGTATCTTATTTGCAAAATAACTGCTTGCTCCAACATATTATAGTTGTTAGGGCTCATAGAACATCATATGGTAGTAATGATATATTACACAGATATATGAGATTTTTAATAACTTGGATGTGGACTGTATTTTTTACCAAAAGACTGTATTTTTATTTTTTGATATTTAATTAGTGACTAAAATATTTTAATTGCAGGTTGTCCGAACTGCCATTGTAGATGCTTCCGGTGTTGCCTCTCTCTTGACCACAGCTGAAGCAGTCATCACAGAAATTCCAAAGGAAGAACCAGCCATGCCCGGTGGCATGGGCGGTGGAATGGGAGGAATGGGTGGCATGGGGGGAATGATGTAAACCCATTTTAAACTTGCATAGACTGTTCTAACTTAAGTTCAGTGTTTGCCGCGAGTGGCAAGTTGGACAGTATCTGTCAAAAAGTTCCATTTTCGTATTTGGCAGACCCTTTAAAAACTTTTTTTATACTGTTTGTTGTGCTATATAAATTCGTGTGAGTTTTCTTATATGTACCACGAATTAAATTGCGTGAATGAGAAATTAAGAGCAACTTATTTTAGTCTCTATAGTGATCAGAAGTGGTTTTAGGGGGTTATCAGATTATGTACATGCCTCCTTGAAATCAATTGTGATTGCTGAACTGATCTGCATTTAAATCCGATAGAATGATCGATATAGTTTGTATGACCTCAGATGTACCTATATTGTTGTAAATATATTGTTACTTTTTAACAAAGTGTTTTATTTTATTTAACAGTTGTAAATTCAACAGTTGACCCAAAAAATGTGATTGAGTTTAAGCCAACTGGTTTAACAGTCAAACAATTCAAAGGTTTGAATTAAGACAATCGGAAGGTAGTCATATGTTGATTTAACACGTTCAAGATGGATCGTCATGTTAAAAGTTTTTCGTACTAGAACCTTGCAATTTACGATATTTCTTTCCGTCAGGCCGGAGAGGTTTTTTTTTGCGTATTTGAATTCTTTGTGTCAATAGTAGTATCAGAAAAAAATTCTTTAGTGAAATACAATATCGTAAACCATAAAAAATACAGCGACCCACCGGTGTACTGCACCGCCCTGGTTGACGGACTTTAGACCAAGGATGTGTTCTCTATGCAGATAATTTTTATAGTAATTTACCTTTAGTAGAAAATATTCTGGAACTTAAGACATTTTTTTGTAGTACGCTTCGATCAAACAGAAATTGCAACCAAACATTTTTTGAACCAGAAACAAAAACGCAGCGAAGTTTCGGGCGTCAATAATAGATCTGTAGCAAAGATTATAAAATGGACCGATAAAAGACAAGTTTTGATGATGACAACTGTAAAGGATCATAAAGGTAAAATGATTGAAACAGGCAAAAATACCTGTGCTGGAGATCCAATTAAAAAAAACCAGATTGTATATCATATAATGCTGCCAAAAAATGGTGTAGACATGTCAAATCAGCTAAGTTCCTATTACAGCACATTGAGAAAACAGTTAAATGGTACCGAAAATTAGTTATGGAATTGCTTTTTGGTACAATGCTGGTAAATTCATGGGTAATACAGAAAGATTTTTGTCATAATAGAACAAAAATGTCCCTCTTCAAATTTAGGGAAAGTATCATGGACGCATTGGTCAATGATGTTCAAAGTACTCTGCTTTCCAATCATCGAGCAAAAAGACAAAAGAGGGAATGTAAAGGTAGTGGGGCAAAAATATTGTTAGACAAGAAGTGCGATCTTTAGGGTGGCCGCATACAGAAGAGCAAAACTGTTTTAGACAAAAACGTTTTTGACTAGCGAGTCTGATGCTGATGTTTCCTTATAAATGAAATGAGCTGACGCATACTGATTAGTCGTGTGTCTAAAGCATGTTAAGCTTATAAGTCATTAGTTTCAGTCAGTCTGTTTGATGTTGATTACTGGATTGTCGTTTTGTATCGAAACATTTCAATGTACGCAGGCGCAACGTGTTTTTGGAATTCCTATTGAAACCGCTCGATAGTGAACAAGAAGTATCTTTTATTTGCGTTGTTTCGTCCTGTAGAGGAACAACTGTCAGAAAACTGTGCAATTTCGTTGTTACTGTCAACATCTTTAATAAAACGGATGCAGTATGTTTGTGATAATATTTTGTTTCTCTGAAAACAAAATGTTTCTTGTGGAACAAAAACGTTTTTGACTAAAACGTTTTGCTCTTTCTTGTGCGGCCACCCTTAGAGGCACATTAACAATGAAAGAGAGTCTCTTTCCTTGTTTGACATCAAATTTGTTGGTTATGTTATGTTGTCCCAATGTCACATGAAATCTTATTAATTGATAGTTTTTTAACAATATTGTGTCGCATTAGACTATTCCGCTAATAAATAATTAAAACTTTCTCGTCTAAAACCATTCTGAAAAATATTATTAGCTACTGTTAATAAGTGCCAGAAAATTTAAATTTGGCGCATTGCATCTCCGGATATGTCCGCCATCAGAGGCCACTTTTTTGGTCTCCTTTTCATAACGATTAGATTCCCTCTTTTGTCTTTTTGCTCGATGTTTCCAATACACCTTACAGAAAAAAAACAAACTGCGAATTCTTCAACCACCTCTGTAAATGATAGCGAAAAGAAGACGACGTTGGGTTGACAGAAAAGAAGCGGGTGACGTGTTTCCGGAAGACAGGACTTTTACGAGTTTTACGCAGCTGGTGATTGGTGAAGTACAGAACATGGTGGTGTGCCAAAAAATAAGTAATTCCGACTTATATTGACTCTTGGCCATCAGTGTCGATTATTGAAAAATAAACAATTAATGTGCCTTACCGAATTATTAAGTTATTCGTTATAAGGTTTATTGAGTGATTACGAATAGTTCATGAGTTGTTAGTTTTTGTGGATAAAATTGAGTCAGTCAATTGAGATATTTTAATCATCGGCGGTTAATTCACGATAAAATATTTACTGTTTTGCTGTAGTATGTTTCGATAGTTCATAGTGTCATAGTAGTTTAATAGTGAGGATAGCAGATCTATCAGGGTTGTTTCTTTTGCCAAGCGACTTCTGATTGTGTATTGTCTTACTGGATGATAGTTCGTGGGGATTGTTAGTACTGCAGAGCCAAGGTAACAGCTTTCTATATTATTTCTGTCCATGCGACAAAGTTATTGAGGAACTTTTCTAACATTATATTTATATGTGAGCTCTGTAGCTAAAAAATTATTGATTTTGTGTGAATTTTCGTAGATATTTAAGTATAAATAATAAATAAATATTAAAGATCTGTTGAGCTCAGCATTCTGGTTTTAATGACAGGCAAGATGATTAATAAATCTGTAGCACAGAATAATACATCACCAAACAAGAAGCGAAATGAAGGGCTTTTTCATAATCCAAATTTCTGTGACAGTTAATCGCCATGTTCTAAATAGTTTATCTGTCAACAGTCAACCTATAAAAACTGAAGTTTGTTATTTGTTTACGTATTGAGTATGAGAAGTGTTGTTTCGTGTGTGTTGTTTAATAGTAAAAAAGAATAATACATTATACCTACATATTTTTGTAATAAACTCATTGTGATGGCTACACGAAGAGGAGGATTTTATTGTGTTGTTCGTGGGTCCCCATCTAAATCTGGTGAGGAAATAGGTAAGTCTCTCTTCAATACCGAGAGATCGTAGCAGGTAAACAACTTAAATTTGAAATTCAAACGCGTTACAAAAGTTATCTGAATATTTATATTTTAGATAAATACATTTTTCTTTAGAATAAAAATACAATTTTATACAAAACAGATCTACTTAAAAAACATTAGTTTTAATGATTACACTTACGTTTGTCAGTATAACACTATAATTTGACTACAGTTTTGAACGACTTCCTCATTACTTTTCTTAGTGCACTAGTAGTTTACGTTCATACTTTCTTAGGCACTAAGTAGTTTAACGTCATTGTCACTCCGAAATTTCTGTCCTAGGAACATCAAAGGTACCGACAAAGCTTTCGCTTCTTGTTGGGTGGAGTGTTCTGTGTCTATAGTAAATTTGTTTCTGTTAAATGAAGTATACGTACTGACGATATTTTTCTGTCCGTTTTAAGTTTTTTTAATTTTTGTGATTTTGAATAAAAAGTAGATGTACTACGGGGATTCCCGACTGATGCACCAGTAGGTACATTATTATGCCGGTTTTACTCAGTACCAAAGATTTTATGTTAGATTCTTTGTTTATATTATGACTATCCATTTTATGTCTATGTCAATATGATTTTATGTTTATGCTGCGTTGTGAATATTTTCTAGCGAATTACAGTGCGCATTCAGTGTCCAACTTAGAACTGACATTTTTTGTATTTTTTCACAAGGAAACTAAGATCCAGTAGCTGGCTGCATACCATGTATCACAAAAAATTTATTAAAATCCTTTATAAAAGGTATATACATAATTAAAACACCCAATTGGGCTTTATCACAACAAAACGTCTTCGGAATCCATATTCCATCATCAGTGTCTAGGTGTACATGTTTTGTGCCAATAAATATTTGGATAAAAACCCGTTAAAAGTTATTGGTTTAAATTTATTTTACATTATTCGATCTTCTATGTTAAGATGTTAAAGTTACCAGTGGATTTGATAACATGACAACGTAAGACGTATAGTAAGTAAGTTCCACAGCGTGAGTCCTAGGACCGACCCCTGCGGCACTCCAGATGTCACGTCAACCACTACTCCTTTTTCTACCACAATTTTCCTCTTTGACAAATAGTCTGAGACCAAATTTATCAAGTACCTCGGACACCTCCTCTCTCGTAGAGCCTTCATTGCCCCTTTCAATTTTAATGTGTTGAAAGCTTTCCGGACGTCAAACAACAGTAGGATTGCCCACCTCTGGTTAACCCCACCCCGCGTAACTCCCGGAAGACTGTCATCAGCATATCCACCGTGCTCCTGTTCTTTCTGAAACCGTACTGCCTGGGTGACAGCTCGCCTGACTCTTCAATCACTTTGTCTATTCACCCTCTTAGGAGCCTCTCATATAATTTACCTATGCACGGAGAAGGCAAACATGTCGATACTTGTCTTCCCCCTTTGGGAGTAGCCCGAGCCTCGAGATCTTCCAATTTGCCGGAAATCGCTGAGTTTCAATCAGTACATTCATGTGGTCCAAAAACCACGTCAGCTCTATACTCTCTATACTCTATACATCGAGTCCCGAATCCTTTCGTGTCTTTAGGGCACTCAACGCTTCATTGAGTTCCTCTATGGTAAAAGGTACAGCTCGCTCAGCTTCGGCGTCCCACTGCACTCCATGCCAATGGTCGGGTGGAAACAACTCTCGGGTAACCTCAAGCTTCCTGTCCAGTGGCATCTCATAAAGAGGATACAGCTTGAACTGGTTCATTACGATTTTGTACAGCTGACTCCCAACGTCCTCATCCAACTTGTCACACAGTTCTCTCCAGTGCCTCTTCTTCTCGGCTCGGATCTTCCTGTACAGTTTCTTCTTTCTCGCATTGTATACCATATCCATTCTGCTAGCTTCGGTTACTTATCTTCTACCTCTTGCCCTCGTAGCCTGTCTTCTGATGGCAATGCATTCCTTCCTCTTATTGGCGATTATCTTCGCACCACCAATAGGGCATTTTTCATCTACCCGTTTATGCGATTTTAAACCATCTAGAATATTCATCAAACGCTAGCCAGTCCGTTCTTTCTCCACCTCTGCTTCCTATTTGGTTCTCTGATGACTCCATGTTGGTTAGGTTATACTCTGACGATCGAAAAGCCAATGTAGAGGTCTTATGTAGCAGTGTCATCCGGCAGGACGGTCCTGTCTCTAATGTTTCTCGCCGCATTCTGTGTGGCACAGGTGAAATCGAAATATGAATGCGAATTTCCCCTCACGAACGTTGGTTCCCGACCATTATTTAAGACAACTAAGTCCAGGGTTCCTTTCCATTCCATAAGCATTTGTCCACGAGCGTTCGTTCTTGGAGAACCCCACTCCACCTCTTTAGTATTGAAGTCCCCCAGCACTACACTCTCTTCCCAATAATCTTACCTCATTTATTCTCAGTTGTAACTCTGATTACGGATTATATTTTTAATGAGTCATATTTTTTATATGATATGATGATAATATTATATAACACAATATTAAGTACGTCTTGTGATTATATATCATTTGAAATATTACTTATTCAGCATTATTATCATCACTTTAAAAAAATAATAAATTAACTAAAAAAATTGAATGAAAATAAATTTAAAAAAAAACTAAAAAACAATAAATATATTCTCAATAAAATCCAGCTAAATGCTAACAAAAAAATTAAGTTGGTTGCCTATATTTGGCGCAACCTAACGATATAAACTAAATTACCGTAACTTTTTTATAAAATATATTTTTTTATATATAATAGAAACTTACTTTCTTTATACATGCTATACCTACATGTCATAGTATACGTTTGGAAAAGAGGTTGACGAAAACTCTAATGAAATGCCCTATGAGCACGTGTGCTTGGTTGTATAGTAATTTCCAGCCACTTCTAGTCTGTCAAAAAGTAACTAACTTCGTAAAAATATAATTACTAAAATCACTAGACAGTTCGGACGTTCGGACCGAGATTACTTGTATTCTTATACATATATACTTAATCTATAGAACCGGTTATTGAATTATGCCAGTGCTGTGCAGCTAAATGTTAGTTTAGTATTTTACGACGCGACCTGTTAATGTTATAAGTGTTAAATAATTAATATACTGTAAATATGGCCTTTTGGCGACCATTTGAAAATGCGGAAAATATTAACCAAGAATCGAATTGTGTTGAAAATAGCTTAGAATTTAAGAACAAAGACCTACATGTGCAGTGTCAACGTATTGTTTTGAACATATATAAGTGTTTAAAAAAATAAAATGAACAAACCTCTGACAGAACTATTATAAATAGAATACGCGAACTTACCAAACTATCACTATCAACAATTTATCGTATTGTGAGGGAAGGAAACGTAATAAATCACTGTCTAAAACGAAAACGAACGAATAAAAAATTCGGAGAAATAGACAATATGGATAAGAATGTTATTCGAAAGACTGTGTATAATTTCTACAAGGAAAACAAGGTATCTACAATGCATATGATGAAGGATGCTCTAAGAGAATACCCTGATTATGACTACCGATGATTAGCGACATTGCGAAATATTTTGATAGACTGTGGGTTTAGATATAAATAAATTAATAATAGAATGGTAATATTGGAGTCGCAGCGAATAGTTAAACAGTCCAATAGTTAAGTGTAGATAACTCTCAGAGCTGCAGTTTAAATACACCATGTTTAAGGAGAAATCGCATAATAATCTTGCATGCAGGTAGTGAACAAGTATTTGTACAAAATGCATTGTTACTGTCTGCCAAAAACATTCGAATCATCTGCCGATTATCATGAAGACATGACCGCTCATTTATTTGAAAAATGGTTCTACCTAATATTCCGCCCAATTCTGTAATTGTCATGGACAATGCTTCTTATCATTCACGACTCTGATCATTCTTCATCGCTAGAAAAATACCCACCAGTAGTACTAAGAAACATGATATTGTAACTTTTGTGAGAGATAAGAAAATACGCCTTTCTAATAGAGTCCCTTTAAAGAAAGATTTATTAAGTATTGTAAGGTCCCACAGTTTTAACAAAGAATACGTATTTGACGACATATGTAAGATACAAGGACATACTATTTTACACTTGCCACCTTATTAATGCATTTTTAATCCCATAGAAATGATTTGGGGAATATTAAAGACGCTCTTAAGGAAACGCAATGAGTCACCGACATTGAACGCAGTGCAACTAGACAACATATTATGTCAAAGCAGTCAACAGGTTCAATAGTGAGATTTGGAAGAACTGTATTTCCCAGGTTATCGACATAGAAAATGAATACCCCATAGTGGATCGTACAACCGTCCTAATTGTTATTCAGCCTAATTTGGACACTGACTCTAGTTCTGATGATTATAATTCTGATTAAAGATATGTGTGAAAAACTTTGTTCATGTATTCATACCTTGACTATAACTAGTATATGTATTCATAGTCCGTTTATGAACTTAGTTCATTAAATGATTTCGGAACACAACTTTGTCTACTATACAAAAATGTGTGTTAGTTGTATGAGCCGTCTCAGTGAAATTGACCTAACCACGAAAATGATCGTTTTTGTTACAAAAATTTGCCATATTAACGAACAGGTATTAAACATTATAATTATATTTCTGATAGAGTATATTTTTATTTAATTTCATCTTAAAACGCTACATTTTTGTGTCAGAGAAAACAATATTTTACCAATTAAGGGACATGTCGATTGAGAAAAAAATCAACAACTCAATTATCAGCAATTTACCACTTATTTACATGACCTTTTCGACAGATTACAGCTTTGATACATTTTGACATAGTGTAAACTGTTTGAGAGTCATCTGGTCTAAATTTCTTGGAGACGGGTATGCAATTCTGAAATAGTTCCTGCTGGATTTGGTCGAAGCTTTTTATGGTCTTCATAATATACCACAAAGTTTTACTCAGTGACAGATCTGAACTACTGGATAGCTATTTTGACAGTCAAATATTGTTTTCTATCATTTAATCTTTATTTTTTAGCCAAATGATAAGCGCTTCCATTTTGTTGAAAGATACACTCAAGATTATTTAAAGGCATTTGTTCGACATGTGGTTTCAAGTTATTTTGAAGTACAATATGCTTATCATTATTCATAATAAACTCCACAAAGTGTAAGTTTTCTATTCCGCTAGGGGACATGGAACACCTATTCATAACAGAAGTTAGAAAGTTAACTTTAGTGTTAACACAGATATCCTGAAACACTTCTTTCTTAATTTTTATTACACGACTCCCACTACCACCAACGCATACTTCAATCTGGTTTCATTACTCTAAATAATGGAGTTACATTGGTTCGGAGAGCGTAATTAGTGTTACTTGACACACCTTGGTCTATTTTTCTTCTGAATCTTTATTAGTATTCTGAAACTTAATTCTGTTGTTATGCGTTTGATAATCAATAATGATAATTTAATTAATATATAATTTGGTTTCCCATTTCAAATACCAAATGTTTTCTTTTGATATTATTACCCCACCTGCCTGTAGGCTAGTGCAGTCATTCTTTCCATTCGTGAAAAAAAGTACCACTTTATGCACTTGTACTGCAAAATTGAGTTGTCATAATATATCACTCACACTATCTTGAATGTCAATACACGTCACTGCCATGCACAGTATACATTAACCTAAATAAACTTAAATTATTTTTGTTCCTAAATATGACATGTTAACAACTTTTTATACACTATGTATTTTACGAATGTTTTACATACATTAAAATTGTCAATTATATTTAAGGAATACTTGAATATAAAAATAAATAAAGCGCTCATGTCTTGTAATATTATATATTCTGTCAATGTTTGCCGGCAACTATTTTTTTTGAGTGTTTCAACTGTCTTTATAAAAAAGATTGGGATAAATCTTCTAATTTTTTTTTGCATACTGTAACTATTTTGAACATACTTATAAGCTAGCTACTGTTTTAAAATTAATGTAACTAATGTTCTATTTTTGCTTCTATAAAGTTATAGTTATTTAAGAGAAATAGTGCTGAATTCGTATTTGTTTAGCTGGTGAAACAGTTTTATCTGAGCAGATTTTCTAGATGGGAAAAGAACAATATTTCTTTAACTCTTTAGTTTTTGAGTTATATTACTTTCTTTTTTTATTCTGAACAATTTAAAACCATATTGGTCCACTTGTTGTCACATGACTAGATACATTGTGATCCTCTTACATACTTTTTGTAAATTTAATTGATATAGCATATTATTATATAATGCTCCTATTTCAGTCTGATAATGAAAACTGGAATTCGTTACAAGTAAGCCACTAATTTAATCCTGTGGAGATTATGTTTAATTAATTAACTACTTACATTTATATAAAAATTATAATCAAAATATATAACATCTTTACAAAAGAAAAACAAATTACTAACAATCAGTCAATAAGCAACCAAAAGATTTTAAAAATCGGATACTCTTCCTTTTCTTTCCCAATCTCCATACCGTGTAGGCTCAGGTCCTCTGGGGCCTCCAACTTCCCCTGTATGTGGATTAGTGTTATTTGGCCAGGGAGGTAGGGGCTGCTCTTCTTCATATGGATGTTTCCCCATTTGTTCATCCAACTTTCCAATAGGTGTTTTCTGTTGCAATTTCTTTCTAAATTCTTCCACTCTTGGGGAAATCGGGTTTTTCGAAACTGGATCTTTTCCAGATGACAGTTTCATGACAGAATCTAGAAAATATATATTGGAATGCGTTCATGTATATATTCTGAAATAAATTTACCTTTCCATGTTGAATGTAAAGGTGAAAATGGAGAATTTCGCATTGTACGAAGCATATACATTAAAATACTCATTTTTAAATATTTTATGAACCAACTACTACGATCTGCTTGACAACCATTTGACAATCAGGAAATGTTATGAGGACTGAGGACGTAGCAATTCTTCTACTGTGTTTATAAGAAATAAATCTCTCCCGAGAAAGAAGAATTATAACCTAATAGAACCTTTTTGACATTTCAGAAAATCAACAATCAGTTTTCAACGTCACTAGATTTAAAATTTTTTAATTGTAAAACAAAATGTGGGAATTTTTTAAAAAATTAAGACGATTTGATGCGTACCCCAAAACATTAGAAGATGTAAGGATACAAACATATGGAGGCGGAGCAAGTAATTTATTCATATTACAGACACATTATAGCCTTCTAATTAATCATTGTTTTAGTTACCATCATTAGTATTATCATTATGAGTTTACTATTCTGGTCTGAGTTTTTAAATTATATGACGCCTGATGTTACTGAAGAATTATTTGTGGATACGTCTAGAAGTCCAAACATTCAAATAAACATAGATTTTATCATTCCAAAGATATCCTGTGATTGTAAGTTACTTCCTGTATTTAAGTTTTAGCTGTATTAAGGCATTTATTTCTAGAACTACCTTATCAAAATAGTAGATTGCAAGACCAAGTTATACAATTAAAGTAATATTTCATTTACATTACAAACACAATTTAAGTATCTAATGAGCATATATTTATTGATTTAATTGCTAAAAAAAACCTTAAAATTTATTTGCTCTTAGATACTTAGGTTCTAAAAAATAATCAAATAAATTATCCTCATTTGATTATGTTTCTCATTTTGATATGTTATGAAATATGCTCTGGAACCATTACCTATATGAACCATATCCTGTTACAATCATACTGATTGGTGCCATATGCCAACATAAGTCTTAGTATATAATTACACTAAAATATCTTATATAATAAAACTATGATAATGTAAATATTTGTTATACCTGATGTCTCATGTATGTTTTTGACCCAGCCGTGGTTATAATAACTACCCTTTTTAACTGCCCCGCAATAAACTTCTTTATAATAAATACAACTGTTTCACATCTTTAGAAAATATAGATAGAATGTTATAGGATAATTTAAAGCAGTCCTTCCAGTTGTGTTATCCTTCAAAATATGCTTTATACATTATGTAGTTGGAAAAAAATGTAAGAACAGATTTTTTGTTTTTACATATATCATTGACGATAAAAGTAAACAACTCTTTTTGTTTTACCATATTTCATGGACAATAAAAGTAAACAACTTTTTTTCAAAAACGCCATTTGAACAATATTTATTAGAATCTTATATTGCTCCGAATGGCTTCACTATAGGAAGTTAATGTTTTAAAAAACTACATATTCATATGTATGCACAGTTTTATTGTTGTCTGATATAACGAGATCAGCTTATAACGAGGTAATTAGTCTCCCATTTCAGTTCTCTTTATAGAGGGAGTCTACTGTATTAATAAATTTAACAGAGGTACAGTTGCGGTCACGGAAGAGTTTACAGGTTCACATATCTAGGAGCCCATTTTTTAAATTTTTACTTCGTTTAAACGCACCTTTTACGTCAAAGTGACGTTGCCAGTGGTGTACTAGCTAGAATAGATATTATATTAATTATCCCATCTTTGTTTAATCTTCCATATGCACATATGACTCACGTTCAAATCAGCAGCAACTTGCCTTAGTGACCAACCTTCTTCGAGTTTGGCAATTGCTCTTGCTTTTTGCGCATAATTCAAATGTATTCTAACCATTTTGGAAGAGTTTAATATACTTTTATTTTATTGTTGAACACTCGCGAAAGCGTTGACGTTTTGAAATTTTTTGACTTTGACATTTATCAAATCCGTACGACACTGCAATTTTACAGTATTACAATATAAAAAGTAAGGTGTAAACTATTCCGTGACCGCAACTGTACATATTAAGATAAATTAGACAACAAAACAAAAAGGTATAGACAAAGAATTCCATGACCAGTTTTAAAAAGTATACCAAAAATTCTCAAAACAATTGGGACAGTTCTATCCTTGGCAAATCCTAAAAAATGGCACATTTTCAATAGTTTTTTTGTATCTTTCTTATCTATTTTATAAGGCAAGCAATGCCTTATGAAACACTGCCTGTGTTTCTTGGAGATCATCATCACAGTCATTAACATCTTAGTAGATGTGTTGTGGTTCATAATTGGGCTTCAGCAGCTCGGACAGTTTGATTGATAATATTTCTCCACTGTTCGCGGTCATCAGTTATATGTATTGCCTCAGTATACTGTTTATTGAGAAGCTTTTTAGTATTGTCCGCCCATCGCTGTGGAGATCTTCCGCGTTGGCGTTGAGTCTGAGGCCTTCCTTGGACCACCAACCGCTCCATTTTGTGATCACTTCGATGGATATGGCCAAAGAACTTTAAAATTCTAGAGTAAACGGTACTGGAGAGACGTTGATCCGGTTTAATTTCATCCAGAACCGAGCTATTTGTACGGCGAGCCGTCCATGGAATTTGAAGCAGGCGTCTCCATGTCCACATTTCAAAGGCGTCTATACGTCGTCGATCTGATTCTTTGACTGTCCATGTTTCGCATGCATAGTAAAATATGGAAAAGACCAGAGTTGAAACGAGTCTCTTTTTGTTTGTCATAGTAATGTGACGATCACGTCAGACCCCGTTTAGTTCACTCATTGCTGCTCTTGCTAGTTGAATGCGTCTTCTAATTTCGGATTCACAACTGCCTGTGTTGTTAACTAGAGCTCCAAGATATATCATAGATGAGACTACCTCGCATCCCGCACTAGTTTGGGTTTCAGGAAACTGTTGTTGGCGATCAATAACCATGATTTTGGTTTTGTTGTAGTTAACCATGAGTCCAAATTTAGCACTTTCTACCTCGAGTTTTTTTAATAATCTAGTAATTTCTTCTGGAGTAGAGGCTAGAAGTGTAGTGTCGTCTGCGAAACGCAAGTTAGATATCTTAACACCACCTAGGTTTACTCCTCCCTCCCAACCATCCAAAACTCTGCGCATTATGAACTCCGAATAGATGTTAAATAATAAGGGAGATAAAATGCATCCTTGGCGTACTCCCTTCTCCAAAGTGCATTTGTCAGACAGATATCCGTCCATTCGAATATATGCCAGGTTATCTTGATACAGTTTGCTAATAAGGTGAGTCAAGTGTTTAGGTACACCCATTGTCATCAATATGTTCCATAGTTTGTCCCATCTAACATTATCAAAGGCCTTTGTATAATCGACGAAACATATAAATATCGGGATCTGGTATTCTCTGGCTTTTTCTATGATGTTTCGTACATTAAGGATTTGTTCTCTAGTACCTCTGCCCTTTACAAATCCAGCCTGCTCAGGTGCTATTTGCCAACTTATGAAGTTTTCTAGACGCCGTTGCAGTATGTAGAGGATCACCTTACTGGCGTGTGATATTAGAGCTAATAGCCTGTAGTTGTTACAATTATTTGTTGAACCTTTCTTATGAAGAGGTATGATTATGGTTTTTCTCCAATCCTCAGGCCAGACGCCTGTGTGCCATATTTCATTGCACAATCGATGTAATATTTTCACTCCACATTCCGGAAGATGCTTCAAGACGTCTGCAGTAATGAGATCATATCCTGCTACTTTGTTTAACTTAAGTCTTTTTAAAGCGAATTCCACCTCGGAAAAAAGTATGTCAGGTTCAGACTCAAAACTAGTGTGGTGTGTCTCTGTTGAAGGAGAATGGAAAGTGGAGGTCTGGCAGTCAGGTACAAACGGGGCGTCCGCTGGCATCTGGTCCGTATTGGCGTATAAAGACTTACAATACGCCCTCCAAACATCAATAACCTTGTCCAAATCCGTCTGTACATTACCTTCATCATCTTTGATAGACCAAGATTTCTGCTTGAATTTACGTGTGAGTTGTCTGACTTTATCAAAGAGTTCTTTGGTGTTATTTGTGTCGGCGTGTAGTTGAATTTCTCTGCAGATTTTCTCTATATGCTTGTTTTTGTCTCGTCTACAAGCAGCCTGAATAGCTCTAGATAGCTGTCGGTACTGGGAATTCCTGAGAGGGTTCTCGATTCCAGCAATTTTAAGTTTTCTACGTTCTTCAACGAGGTCAAAAGTATCTGCAGACATCCACACTTTTTTTGGTCCGGTTGAGACGGCATTAGACTGTGCCTCGCAGTCAGTCAAGGTCTGTATCAAGGTATTTTTAAAAGATAACCAAATCTTTTCGGAATCATGAGTGACGATAGTTGGTAAAATATTTCGAATCTTTCATTACATTGGATTTAAAATTGTTGTGTATCTTTTATTTTTGATATCCTCTTGTTTCGGATCCTAGCACATGCCTTGAATTTTTGCTTTAGCGTTGCAACAAGAAGTTGGTGGTCAGAGCCGCAGTCAGCGCTAGGTCGTGTTTTACATTGGCTAATAGATGTTTTCCAGCGATGTTTAATCATTATGTAATCGATCTGATTTCGGTGTCGTCCATTAGGTGAGATATAAGTGTACAATCTTCTGGGGTGGTGCCTATACATAGAGTTCATTATTGTCAAGTCATTGTCAACGCAGAACTGGATAAGGCGGTCTCCTCTTGAATTGCGTTCACCTATTCCATATCTACCCACAATATTTCGTATATGTTCGTCAGCCATAGTAACACCGATTTTTGAGTTTAAATCACCCATGATGATAGCGATTTCTTTATTTGGGATATTTTGCAGATATGATTCCAGCTCGTTGAAAAAAGATTCAGTTGTATCATCATCAGCAGTTGAGGTAGGCGCATAGACCTGGATCAAATGTACAATAGAGGGAGATCCATTTAGGAAGTCATCTTGAAGATACATGGAATTAAATGAATGTCATGTAAAGGATTCCAGATGCTGAAACCATATTCTAGTATAGATCTTACTGATGTAAAGTATAAAATTTTAGTTGCTGTAGAAACTGTTTGTAAAAAGATGATTTATCTTTTAGCAAACAAGACAAAATATGTTCCTCACGAGTGGAAACAAACACTAAAGTTTTCTTTATCTCTTCCAAAGAGAATTTTTCTGCAATGAGGGAGCAACTTCTGGAAAAATTAAGGGAATATTATGCAAAAACGAAGCACCTGTTAACCAGTCTAATTTTGATAGAAAAGTGGCCGGGGCATTGGCTGCATTATTTCGAGATTCGATATACTTAATGCCAAGAATAATTTTGACTATTGGACTGGATATATTGGAACGATTTCTGTCAAAGTGCAACAAACTATTATGAAGGTGACTATTACATTTACTACATTTAAAGGCTTTTGGACACTACTTGACAGAATGATTAGCCTGATTAAGACTAAAACATGAGGAAGATTCTTTACAAAATTGGTATCTTTCTTCTGAAGATTTTTTCAAAAACAACGAACACTGGTTTTGAAAATGACTTTGTTTACATAAGGCACAGCATATTGACGACGAATTTGTAACAAAGGATGAACTACGAGTATGCCTTGACTCATTAGAATATTTATAATTACCCTTTGAC